ATAAAACAAAAGAAAAAACTTTTTAAACAAAGTAAATTCAAATGAAACTTGAAGAGTGGTGCTGAGGGCTCCCCTCGTTGCTGTTCCACAGAAAGTGAGGAAATCACCATAGCAACCAATGAGTTATTCACACTCTTCTATTACTGAGCTGCTTCTTCCTCCTCATATTAATTTACCAATAATGAACTTCTATAATAGGCTAAAGGAAGGAAGTTAGTCTGTGAACCATTTTCAGGCAGCAGCTGCTCCCTTTTAAAACTTCTAGTTTTTAATCACATTCTTTTTTTTCCTCTAAATTTCTATTCCTATCATTTCTATTTCTTGTGCATGTTCAATGACTCTATAGTCTAATAAACGTAGTAGTGTCAGTGTTGGGAGATCAATGGCTTCTGTCTTCTCCTCCTGGACGATAACAATGATATATTAACTTATCTTAATATGTTCATTTTCTGTTTAAAACTGCTGGCTGGTGCGTCAAACAATTTTGCTGAAATGATCTGCAGAGGAACAAGAAGCCTAATTTCCTCAGAGCTGCAGATTTTCCCCTTCCTCCTAAAACGTTTTAGATCACAGCATCTCCACAGCTCCTTTTTATTCACGTTCTCCACATCTGAATTGTGCTGCTTTATTCCTGCTGCTGCCTGGTTACTGCAGCTCTTCATCAGTCTGCCTTGTGAGCAAGACTCCAGTCTTTTGTTTTATCCTCTTTGTGAGTCTCTGCTCATTACGCATCTCTGACAGGAGTTTTTTTTTAAGTGTCTCATCTTTTATCTCCTTGTTTTGTTAGCATCATGCAGAAATTTAGGATCACAAAATGTTCTTTTATTTGTTTACTACCTTGTTTTAATCTGTAGATGACCCTTTATTCATCTGTAGATAATATTTAAGACATATTCTTCCAGGTGTTACAGAATGCTGACACAAAATTAATTTAAAAAATCATGTATCACCTTTTCTTTTTTATTGCTGCAAATTAGATGTTCAGTTATTATATTTTCTCTCTTATGCATCTTAATTTCCTCCCTGTTTCTGTATTCTTTCCAACTCAGACTGTTTGGAGAAGCTTTTTTTTCCAACCTGAAATGTGAATTCCTAAGAAGCAGTTTTTTTCCTCTCTGAGAGGAAGGTGGGCACATCTCATGAATACATTTTGATTAGAAAGCTGCAAAGTCCTGCTTTAGGATGAAAGTTTGTGCAACGAAAAGAGTTTGATTCTTCAGGAGGTGATCTTATTTTGGACAGAGGCAGGCTTGCACAGCTGAGAGGATGGAGGTTCTCTATATTGAGTATGTTGCTGTTCTGTTACTGCTCATCCTCCGTAGCCCACGGCTTAAAGGTATCGCAAAAGTATCCAAGCCCCTTGAAATTTTTATTTTTTTTAGTCTTATGACCCTAAACATCAGTATGTTAAATTTGTTATATGATAAAGCTTTAAAATGCTTTCAAATGCCGGCTATACTATTTGTTTGGTGGTGGGGGGGGGGGTTCACAACACAGATAAAAGACATTGATTATTGCAAAATCTGTGTTTGTTGCTCTTAATTTCTTCCATCGCTCTGTGAGGCAGGTTCAAGGATGACCATTTTTAGAAGACCTGTAATAAAATCTGACGGTGTCAGATATTTAGAAAATGCTACAACCTACATCAGCCAGTAGAAATGCAGCGGCTGTTTGTGATGTATCACATAAAGATCCAATTAAAGGTGGATGAAAAGAGGGATTTGTTTCCAGGATTTTGTATGATCCACAGTGGAGAAACGTGTGAAACCCAGCAGCAGGAATATCATCAATCAGGTGAAAAATCTTAGCAGTAACTGCTTAATAAATGTAACTTTGCCTCTCTTAACATGTAACGATGAAAGAAAAATATAAATATTATTGTCAGTAATGTAAATATAGGGGTATAGATGATTTAATAATTTATCCTCTATGACAGGGGCATCTGCAACCTTTCATATCCAAAAATACATTTTGCCCTGAGTCCAGCTAAGTATACGTTTTTTAAAACCACCAAATATTACATTACTTTTTAATAAAACAAAACATATTTTTTTTTATTTATAAATGTCTGTCATTGGAAATCTGTTTCCTTCTAAAAAAAAAAAATCTAATCTTTTTTTAGCTTTTAAAATAAGGAAAAACATAAAATGACTTGTAAAATGACTGAATCCATGATTCAGCTTTACATTGATGTAAAAAATGACAAAAAAAATGCTAAAAACATATTTCTGTTTTTCTTTTTAATCTCATTCTCTTGTGTAAATTCACACCCACTATTCTTCATTAAAAAACACTAAAGCTTCTTAGTGTGGCATTTGTTATTATAATGCATTACTTAGTTCTTTATATCATTTTTAGCTACTATTAAGAGGCATTGAAGAGGATCTGTAGAGCCACATGCAGCTCTGGAGCTGCAGGTTGCAGACCCCTGCTTTTTGAGCATCATCTGGCAGAAGAGCTTATATAAGAGTTTTGGCAGAAGAGCAGCAGGAGATGCTCCACAGGTCCTAAATGAGGCTGTCTAAATAAGAGAAGAAGTCGTCCAAAATGGTTAAACATGGCTGCAAAGAGATGTGTCCGCATTGACTCGCCCAGGCTGAGCATCCATCACAAACCTGTGACAAATTTCATCCTTCTTCTCTTACTGTGTGGCCTCGACCAAGATGGACTTTGATTTGCATAATAAATATGGGAGCATGCACAATAAATACGAGTCAATAGGAATAGAAGCGTACTGGTGACATCATCACATTCAAAGCTTGTCTGGATCTGAATTTCACCTCCTGTTAATAGTCTCTAGATAATTTCTGACTTTTTAAGGAGGTTTCAACAGGGTCCTGTACAGGAAAAAAAGGCAGCTTGGCCCTGCTTAAACAGACATTTTTAACACTGCTCCAACTTTAAAACGTCAACCATCTTCCAGTGCTTAAGAAGACGCATGTTACATGTTTAAATGATTATCAGCACCTGGCACATGAATCCTGTTAAACATTTAGATGAGGGAAAACCTAAAGAATGGCTCTTATTGATTATGGCTCTGCTTCTAAATTGCTTGTTCCTGTGAGGCTTATAAACTGGAAATGCTTCGATTATTAACCCAAGACTTCAAAGGCTTAAGGTTAACAGTTGCTTCTCAGATTAACTCACTGTAAGGGTTGGTTTGCTAGCCTAGTAAACTAGCCTCATCCGCCAGCAGCCGAAATAATTTTTGCCTGCGAGTGGTCTAGCCTTGATCAAGTCCCCAGGCCCTAAAACTGGTGGGCCAATCACAACCCAGAGATGTGTTTTGATTTTTGGATGCAAAGCGGGCGGGGTTTTGATGGCAGGACGACAAAGCTTTGCGACGCTGGAGAAAACACAACAAGATGGCAGCAGCAGCTTTCAATGGAGCGCTCCACTCAAAGTGAAAAGTTGTCTTTTCTATTGCTTCTGTCCAAAAAAATTAAGTTTTAAGGTCATTTGAGACGAGAATATTATACTTTAAAGTGTCACTATATGGTCCATTTACCGATTTAATGCGTAATAAAAAAAAAAAAAACTATTTCTGAAATTGAGAGGACCGCGGCAACCAGCAGATCTCCGAGGCTAACGGCAGCCAGGGCTAACGGCAGCCCGTTTGCAGCGGCCCTCTCTCTGTATAGTCGTGTGTTGGCTCTGATGGCGATATTTGGCTCAGCTATGGAATCAGTTTTGGAAGGATTAGAGTTGTGGTTTTAATTGAAACATGATCAGGAAGAGGCTCTACGCTTATTCATGTTTAAGAAGGACGTATTCACCGTTTTACTGAGAGACTGTTTGTTTACAATCCCCCACCAGTTTTCTGTCGTGCTTACTACGCGACAGTCGGGTGCGCTCATTGATCAGAGCGTTGGCCAATAGGCACAGATAGCGGTTGTTCTCATCAACAATCTTCCGATGTCTCATTCATCAGGGCCAGACTAAATTACACACTTAATCTCACATTTAGTCTGGTTAATCAGGCTATTGGTTTGCCACACGGCTGTATTTTGTTCTTGTTACAGAACTGAGGTGTAAAATGTGATGTTTTGGAGTAAGGAAAATCAATTGGTTCTGAAAGCCTCACAAAAAAATGTAATTGGTGTTAAAATTTGAACACCAGTGCGATTATTTCTAAAAGTCTTACCAAGGACATTTCTTGTTGAGTAAACTGAAAGATTTTATTAGCAATAAAAGCAGATTCTGTTCAATTTCTACCACTGTGCAACAGAAAGCCATCTGATAAATTCTACCACAGTGCGGTTTAGGAACCTTTCTGCTAAAGTTAGGAAACTTTTAAAGCGAGCGGTCCGCTCTGCCTGGTGGATTATTGGTGAGGATTTACCGTATAAGTCCTGGAGGAGTCCTTTGCTCCCAGGTTTAAGCCACTATTATTTGCATCCTGCCAGGTCCTGAGTTCCCTGCTTCTGTTGAGCAAATAAAAGCGGAGACATTGCTTCTTTCCTCGAGCTGTGATGACTAAACACAGACTTTATGACGATAGCAAAAAGCGTTTTTTGGCGCTCTTTTTTTCATTGTTTTAGTTGTTTGTTTATTTTCCTTTTGTGAGGCCCTCTTGACGTATTTGATTGCTTGGCTGTTGTCTCCTTGTCTGGGCGAATTTCAAACCGTACTCGGCTACTAACATCTTTTAAATGTGATTATTTGGCAAATAAGATAAAACTGAGTTCAGATGAGTCTGAAGAGGAACTTTAGGTTTTTTAATGACTCATGTTATTTAGAAGTGGGGTCAGAGCTTGCTATAAAACACTTGAGGCTGCAGTCAAGTTGCTGCAGATTGAGATATATGAAGGTAAAACAAGCAGTAAGCACAGAACTACTACAGTCTGATCCATTTAGATCCAAACTGAATGAAATGCTCCAGACACAAACCGAAGTTCTTGCTCTGGGACCTTTTTTGTTTGGTGGAAAAAGGGGCAAACTGTGCGAAAAAAAACACTCAGGCTCTGAACAGCCTCACTGCTAACTCTTTGGTACATTACCTGGCATGCTGACCCAGGTTGCTTGTGGCATTGGATGAGGAACCGGTACGGCGACGGGCGGCACCAGAGTCTGAGGAGGGCAGATCTGCGGATGGGGCTGCGCCGCTGGAGGTCCTGGCGGATATCCGCCGGGCTGGGTTTCGAGCGGCTCCATCTCCACCGTCCGCAGACACTGTTCTCTGAGCCGGTCCTCTTGGCGTCTCTTCAGGCGGCGCTGCAGAAAGCTGCAGAAGCAGCACAGCATGGTGATGAGGGCCCAGACCAACCAGAAGCCAGCGAAACAGGCCAGAAAGGTGTAGGTTCCCTGTGACATCACCATGGCGGTGATGGAAAAAAGCACCGGCTTCTTCCCTCAAGGAACAAATGTCCTTTTTTTTTTTTTTTAGGGAATGAAAAATGTTTCTTATACAGTTGATGGATCTAAAAACATCTAGAAAAAGAAAACAAAAAATCTTCACGGTAATGAAAGCTGAGATTGTCTGGAATTAAAAGACTGTCCTCTTCCAAGTTAATAGAGCTTTCTATAGAGAGAAGCACACACTGAACGTCACATGTTTAACATCCAAAATGAGTCAAAGTATTGTTAAACATAGAAGCAAAACTCTGTGATGGATAGCTAGGGCTAAAAATGTTTTTTTTCACAGTATTGCTTTGTTTACAGCAGGTCCTTCTTATTTTTATTTTCTCATAAATCCGCTCTGCTTTTCCAAAGAATTGGACAAAATCCGGGTTCTCATCCTCCAACATCCACTTAAAGCCCCCATGGAGCTCCACAGGTTTCACACGACTAAAAACATTTTCCTGTTGGAGAAAAAAACAAACTGCGTCCTTTCAGGACTGTGATCTTTGGACGGTCGAACGGAGGTGACATCCAATCAGAAGCGCCAGAATCCACAGAAGTGAGGGCTTCATCCGCACGCAACCAAACAGCTGGTCCCTTCGGGGGTCCCTGCACACCGTCGGGAGGCTGAATTTCTGCCCCTTAGATCCCAACAGGACTCCTTGTTCTCCCACTGCTCTGCGAAGAGAAACACAAGGAGAGCAAACCGTCACCAGGACAAACACAGACAACATTTCTGACACAGCGAGGAGTAAAAACAGCGCAGAGGCTGAGCGTTTATGGATTTTAGCTGCCAACCTGAGCTGCAGATAAAATATTCATAGTGAAGGTGATGGTGGGAAACCTACATGCTAAATTCATTTATCAGGAACTGCTTTTTAGGTCTCAAAAAAGATATTAATTCCAACAAGGGCAGCACAGCCACCTTGAAGCAAGAAGTTTGTGTGTTTATTCCTTTATATTGTTTTTTGTTCCCGAGTCTCTGTTCTACTGTAATGGATCTGTTCAGGCTGCAAGACTAAGGGTGGATAAACTGATATTGCAGTCAAAAAACAAAAAAGTGTTTCTATGAAACGACAACACATCCTTATATGTCAGGTCTGTTTTTCTACACTGATGCACAGACTTCTTTCTTCACTTTAATGTCAACAACCCCAAACAGACAGACTGTAACGAGGCTGCGGACCTCCATCTGTCCAGAGCTGACCTTCTGTGGAGTCGTCTGCATCAACATTTGTTCAGATATATTTACACCAATGTCTTCATGTCGGTGTCTGGTTGCTGGCAAGGATTCAGCAGATGTTTATCTCTCTAAAAAATGTTGTTTAAAGGCATACTGCCAAAACACAGATATTCACAGTCGCTGTGTTTATAAAACTGTAAGCATTCATTTTAACAAACAGAAACCTTACAATGGCAGATATTTCTCTTTTCCTCCCTTTATGGTGATAACTATAGGCAACACCAAACAATAATGCATTCAGAAAACACTCGGTAATGTGGGAATGCACAGGATCATGAAAAGCCAGAAACGCAACAAAGTAAAGCATAAAAACTAAGGCTCTGAGTGCAACAGCAAACCTTGAAAGATATGGCTGCCCTCCTGATCTGACAACTTTCCCTTCAGCAGGAAGTTGGTCTGGGTTGACGGGAAGATAGATGAAGTAAAATATAAGATAATCCCTTAAAAGGTTTCTAATAACACTAAAGACTTAAACCTGTGGAAGTAGTTCACCTAGCAGCTAACCATAAACATGCAGATCAAGCTACAATGGAATAGGGCATTCATATAGTGGGGCAAGACTTGGAAATTTGTTTTCCATAAAGAAAAGTGGGAGAATGTGCAGCTTTTATAAAGTAAGTTATAATAAATTAACAATTAGTGTATATAAATAATATATATAATAAATATATAAGTTGTGAAAATGTGACAAATGCTAAATAAGACCCTGTAGGCTTTGTTAATGTGGATACATGACATCTGTTTCTCTGGTTATCTTACCATTAAATCTGATGTTTAGAAAAAAAAAAGTCTGGAATATTCTAATCCCTTCATTCTAAACTCTACTAATTCTGCTAATTGTTTATCATCTAAATCTGCTCTTGCTTAAAAAATGCTTTCATTTTCTTTCTAAATATGTTCCCATTGTCCTGTCACTTCAAATACTCTTAAAGCATCAGTATTTTCCCCATGAAGGCAATAATATATATATTTTTTTTCAACACAGTCAGCTCGGACCAATCTTTGCATCTAAATGAGACATCTTGAGATGTATGATGGTTTCTGGCGCCTAAACCTTGATTGCGCTGATTCTGTTGGGTCCACCGGGTTGTTTGGGTAATCTTTCCACTTGCTTGAATCTCTTTGAGTGTTGTTTTTTTTAAGGAATTGTCTAAATGGTGTGAATTGATCTAATATTTCTTTGTTTTTTAAACTGTTATAAAGATTTCTTGATTGAATCTGTTTGTTGGACTTTCTAGAAAAGGTACCGTTGATTATAATGTAAGAATTCTTACTTTAGATGAATATAAAGGTTTTCCAGCAGATATTTATCATATTGACTCCATTTTGTCTAATGTATCAATGCTATGGGTTTTTATTATAATAAAGATACCTGCTTAAATGTACTGATGTCGGATGTAAAATCATCTTTTTAAAAGCAGTTGTGGAGAAATAGACATAAAATTGTTGCAAGAAGCTGCAGAGATGATCAGTGTGTGCTATTGCTGTTGAATCATTGGAGTGATGAGTACAGGGTTAAGCTGAAAACGTGACATTTCCTCAATCTGAAGCTCCGTATCAATCCAACTGAAGTGTTTTTCCCTCTCTGGGCTGGACTCTCTGACTGTATTACACATGCATTTATAGCAGCAGTGGAAGTGTTCTTGTCATTACCCACCCCTGCAGAATCCCTGTGGACCTGCATCGCGGTGCCGCTGTAATTTAAAAAATTGTGACTCATCCTGAGTCCGGAGCGCCGCTGGTATTTCAATCTGTAGGTGCTGATGTGGAACAGGGCTTCTGTTTATTTCCCACGCAACCCGCGGCGCTCTACACTCGTAAACCTACACATGTACAGGAAAAACACAGCTACGCTGTGTGCTCAGGTTATTTATATCAGGCTTGTTTCCCCCCAACCTCATCTGCTGGATCTCAGGTGAACTCAAGGGAGTAATGAGGACCTGATTTGTCTGAGATATAGAAGCACTTAAAGGGTGTGACATGAGTGGGTGTTTCATGTCATACTAGATTGCAATGGCAGGACTTTTTTACTTGGAATTAAAATCATTTTAAAATCATCTGGCTTTTACAGATCAGCATCTTTAACATTTAAATTATTTTTGGGATTTTTTTTTCCCTTAATCCATCCTTTACCCTGAATACACTGAATCAGAGGAGAAGGGTCGACTTAAGCATTAAGAATAAGGAACAAAGCCTCTTTGAAATAAAAACCTTCAGCCCCAAGAAGCACATATCCTCTACTCTACTTAATAATAGGAGCTTGAGGTGCTTTTCTACATGTGCATTATTTTTCCCATTAGATCCACCAACACTGTTTGTTGTAGAAAAAAAATCAACATTAGTCTGATCTGATATAAGGACACAGGTCTCGTTTTTGAGCCCTGGTCAAACTTTTAAACATTAGACATGTGTGATGGACAAAATGTCTCTACTTGGATTTTCCTTAAACAGTTTATGTTGATAGTTATGGACACCTGGTGATCATAGATGCAACTTTTTGTTGGATTTTATTTCAATACTGATCCCTTACATCTTTGTCTATCTTACTTTGTGTGGGTGGTGGTGAGATCGCAAAATCACTAAGCTCTACAGAAGTGCAGACCATTTCTCATTTAAACTTTTGTTTTTTTATGACTGCAAATGAAGAAGTTTATTTTGTAGAGAAACTCATCCTGTGTTGCTTTTCCTGGATTATGACAATCTGTACATATCTTTCTCCCTTTGATGGGATGTTTGTTTTTCCCATTCTAAGGGAAAACAGGAAGTCACCGACTTATCAAAAGTTGAAGATGGAATCATTTGAAAAGTAGAATTTGAAAGAATCATAACTGATATGGAAGAAGTGAACATTCATCCATCCATTTACTGTACCTGCTTGATCTATACATGATAATGGTTGGCGAGGGACCTTTCTCCACAGGGTGAGAGACAATAATATCACCGGTCTATCGAAGCAACACAGGATAAACAACTGTGCATGCAGTGAACCAGGCTACATGCGTCTTTTATTGTTTGGGCTCAGGCAGGAAGCCTGAGAACCCACATCTGCAAATTCCATGCAAACACATCTTGCTGCATGGAAACATGGCTGAAAACTGCACCACCATACACCCCCTACTGAGGAGGGTGATGTTTTTGTTTTTTTTTTGGTTTTTTTTGTCCTCCACAGAATAGTTTGCAAATATGCAAACACAATCAATTATACAGCTTTTCACAATGTCAGTCTGTCAGACTGCCGTCAATCTCCAAAGTAATTAACTGTCCTACTAGCCAATGAGCTAAAGCTGGTCTCCATAGTTAAAGCTGACAACCTGTTTGAACAGCATGATGTTTTCTTAGATCATTTAAAACGCTTCTTTGTTTAAATTGAGACTTGAGTAACATTTGTTCTCAGTATGCCAGTTTTTAATGACAAAGTTTGTTGCCATTGCATAGATTTTCAGTTTTATTTGTTTTAAGTAAGGATTCTTTAGGACAGTGCTGCTTTCTCTGCCTCTGAGAGCCAACAATGGCTGCTTTGAATTAGATTCAAAGGTTTTAATACTGAGACAGTCAAAAACAAAAATAAAATAGCCTTTTCTTTGAAGCTGTAAGAAAAAAACGCAAACATCCTGTTCTCCACTTAGCCTGGGTATGCAATGAATTATATTTTCAATCGTTTTTCTGAGCTACAGCTCAAACTGTACGACGAAACCACAGGGTTTAAAAATTTGACAGCTGACGATGTCTGTTTTCACACTGTATGGACCGATGCTCTGATGCGATCTACCTGCTCACACTGTACATCCAGAAACCAGAGAGATGGCGCCAGTTGTTCTCATTAATCTGGAAGAAGAACACCCTTGTTTGCACATGTGCAGTGCGTGAGGTTCTGGTAAATCGGCTCGTAGACACTCGTAGCTCTGCTTCAACAGCAGGATTTGCTCACGAACACCTCATGAGGGCCGACTGGATTTCAAATACTTTTGATTTTCTCCAGACCTTACGAATTCTGATTGGAAGGTGGTGGCAAGAGGCTAATTGCTCTCTCTGTATACTACACAACGCAAACAAACTATGAGGTAGAAATTCTCGCACGACTGGAAAATCGTCAGAAAAAGGGCAAAACATTGCACAGTGTATGCCCCGCCCAAGTCATGGTCCTTAGTAGGAGAATGGACAATAAAAAATAAAGAAAAAACAGATTTCTTAAACTTCTTCCCTGATTTGAGTAACTTGTAATAAAGTTTTTTTCTCATTAAAAAAACCTCCTTGACCTAAACCTTTCTACAAAAAACTTTATTTTAATTTCTTTTTTTATTATTTTTTTTATTGTTTGTTTATTGCTTTGCTAATATCAACATATCTGCCTCCTGCTGGGGAAGTCTGGTTATTTCACTATATTGTTTTATTTTTCGCTCACAATGCTCTTGACAAGATCCATTAAAAAACTAATAGTTCAAGAAAAGGGCATCATCATAGTGTGTACTATCACACTGATTTATTAAATCTCATTTTAATAAAGTTCCTAAAATCACACAGATAAAAACCAGGGAATCGGTGCAGCAACAAATCTTGCTTCTCCAGACTGTTTCCGAAAACAAGAGGTTTTGAAAGCTAAAACTTTTCAGTGATCTCTGTCCTTCTCTGAAGGCTGAAGGACAAAGAACATTGCAGCTGTTTCTCTGAAAGCAGCAGATCCGTCATCAGATTTCAATAACCGTAAAATCCATTCTATTCATAAAGCCACATGTCTAAACTATTGGATAATTTCCTTTTTTTCTTCTTAAAAACAGATTTTTTTTAAGGCTGGCTGACTTCTTTGTATTCCTCCCAGTGTCCTGTTTACAGTCTACTTAATGAGATATTGCTGATGAGAATCTTTCCTCTAGATCAAAAAACCCTTTAATCTCTTAAACTGCTCTTTTTTATGTTTAAAAAAGTTTTACATTTGTTTAAGATTTGCATTGAACAATAATGCAGCAAGTTTACTTTGTAGAATAAAGAATATGTTATTCTTTACTGATAAATGTAGAGTTGGATAACTTTTTTTTTGAGTTTGGTTTGTTCAGAGATGCATTAATCCATAACTGGGTTGAAACACAGCACCTTGACCTTGGTGCCCTCTGCCAGATTTCACCTATGGGGTTCCTAATTGTCACAATTTGCTTATGGATTGTTAAACCAAAAGCAGAGTCCGAGAGGCAGAGGTGAATTTCTTGTGGATTTAATGAAAGTTCACTGAAACACAGAGGAAGGTAATCCAAAAATCCAAATATGAAACAAAGTCCAAACAAACAGGCAAGCAGGAATCCAAAAACCAAAAATGAAAACAAAGTCCAAACAAACAACAAACCGGGAGTCCAAAAATCCAAAAATCAAAACCTGAAAACAAGTCAAAGCGAACCAGAAACCATAGAGACATCAGAGGGATAACTAACACAAGGAGGAAGGCTCAGAGAGACAGTTGGGGGAAGTTAGACAAGGACCCAGCAAAGAAGAACTGAACAGCAAGAGTAGTAGTAGTTTATAGGAGACAGAAACAAAGAGAGGGCTAATGAGCAGACTGGGAGCAGGTGTGCACAGAGCAGGAGAGGAAAAGAGCTAGGGAAAAAAGAACACAAGAGGGCAGCAGAGGGCAACAAATAGAAACCTAGAAAACTGAAAATAACCAGAAAACACAATAAAATAAGAATTAAACCACTAAGACTATTAAACATGGAGCAAAGTAAAACTGAAAACTCAAAAGAGTACCATAATAGAGCCAAGACGGAGAAAGTAACTGAGAAAAAAACAAAGAACACAACAAAATAAGACTTAAACCATAAAAAACTAGAAAACAAGGAACAAAGCAAAACTGAGAATCCAAAGAAAAACATAACAGAACCAGAACTCTAACACTAACAAGAAATGGGGCCCAAACCCCCCTGTGGATTGAGGCCCCATGCACCCTTGGGCCAGCCCTGTCTTTAGCTGTATTAAGGTGATAATAATGTGCAATAAATTCAGCTTCCAGTCAGCCTAGTTGATTTTGAGGATTTTTTTTTTTTGCATTATGTAACCCCCTGAGACGTCTTTCTCTTAACTGTCACCCTGATGCTGAGAACAATCCAGGTCCTTGATCCTCAGCAGCCTCTGGCTGCATGTCTGAGCCATGCAGAGATTATAAAGAGGCTCCTCCAGTATCACAAACCTCCTGCTCCTGTGGAGAAACTCACCTTGAATCCCTCTGCGATTGAGGAAAGCTTTCAGCTCCTTCTTTCGCGGCGAACTTTAAGCCAAAAATCTCCACAAACACGCAGATAAGCGCGTCCCCCCACCCGTGGCTGTGGGATCATTCCAGCTGCTGCGCTCTGACCGTCACCCGGGGACTGACGCGCGATCCGCGGCTGCGCTTCAAAGCAGGGAGCTTTATGGCTTCACCTTGGCAGCAGGACTCCTCCCCAGCCTCTGCTCCATCCTTTTTGTCCTCTCTTCTCTCATCGTGACTCTCAGACGGACTTTTTTCCCTGCCTGCCTGCTTCTGTCTGTCGACAGGATTGGAAAACAAGCCAAACCTCCAGCAGGGGGGGTTCCCAAGGACGCACGACCTGGCAGAGCAGCTCCAGAGGCGCAGACGGTTTTAGGATGAAGTTCATATGTCAGTTTAATGCACATCCTTCCCTCCTTTCCCTCCCATTACCCCCACAAAGCCCTTTAAATCACTGGGTCTGATCAAATGCTTAAAACGTAATTCAAGTAAAATAATTATAGTAGTTATTAGTGAATAAAAATTATTCATCAGCTGGAAATTCCGACCTTTGCTAGATATGGGAAAAAAATATTGTTAAAAATCCTATCCTATTCAAATATACTTTTTTAATCATTAATAAAGATAATAATAATAGTAAAAAACCCGTTTAGTTTAGCATCTACTCATTCTGACTTTTTGCAGGTTAATTTATGAAATCACCCTATTTTCTACATTCTGTTATTTAAAAAATGAAAATATATTTTCCTTCATAAAGCAGCAATAGAACAAATTCGTAATTATTGTCCTAACTAAAAAGATTTTTTCTTTCCTTAAAGTTAAATATTCTGCTCTAGATGAAAAAGAAAAATTATGGAACAAATTTAAATTCTACTTTCCTATGAGAATGTAAATAAACATAGTTGGGAATGTTGATAGATATCATAAATAGCATTATTCAAACAATAACATAATCATCATCATAATATCCACATAAATAACATTCCCTAGGCTGTGTGCAGCCCACTTCCCCCTAAGGATATGGTTAAATGCAGAGGACATGTTTCATAATGCCCAGATAATTAAGTTATAAAACAAATTAGTTCAGAAATCCCAAGCGATTCCTTAAAATGTAGAATGCAATGCAATATGAACATGAAGCAAAAATGTATGTTTTGCTTCATGAATATATTTATTTTGAATATATTTATTTTTATATTTTTATTTTGCTCAAATTGGCTTCACTTGATCAGAAACCAAACTTAACCCAATAATCGCAACAATCTTCTTTTATTCTAGTAAGTTTCTAAAAGCGGGACGATCAACACATCTGCATCTCAGACTGTGACATCTTGGAAAAAGACATGCTTTTAAAATGTTTCACCATCTGCAGTCAAAACATGTTTTTAATGGATCTCCTCACACAAGCAACCTGTTCACATTGAATATTAAGTCCTTATTCGTAACTTTAAAAAAAAGTGTATCTTTACATACATGTAAGGTTCTGATCAGTTCAGCAGTTAATATCCACACTGGTGCAGTTTTAGAGACTGAAAGTCTCTGCAGCACCTGATCTCAGTTTACCTGCAGCTGATTTGACTTTCAAACATCCTCATTAGGTTGCATTCAAATCAGGATGAAGTTTGGTGTATCTGCAGCAAACAATCTGCTCTCTCTGTTCCACTCGTTTAATAAAAGGTTTGTTTTTTGATATACATCTATAAGTTAATATTTGTTAAATCAGCTATTTTTGTAAATGAATCTTTACATGGATGTCTCATAGTGCTTTCTACATGTGCTAGTTATTATATTGGGACCCTCCTCATGTCTAAACTGTGTACTGCATCTGATTTTAAATCAGCATTGGTGTTGACCTCATCATTATCATGACATCACCCAGAAAAGCTGAAGCTCTGCAGCTTATAAAAGCAGCTTAGTCTCCAAAAGGCCTCTTTTGGGAGTCGGAGTGAGTCTAGACACAGACTGTGGTTTTACCAGTTTACTCTACATGCAACCTAATGCTGACCCCAACTCGCCACCAGTCTGTCCCTCTTCTATGGCCAGATTCCTCAGGGGCTCTGCTCGCGTTGGTAGCCCCATCACTGAGGGGGAAAAAACTATTTGGGAGAGCGGAAGTTGGATTATCTCACCTATAAGAGAGATATTACAAATACTTCAGCCTGGATTGCACACTGAACCCTACTTGTTTTATATAAACAAACAAAATCAGCCGTTCATGATCTTTTCATTACCGAATCCTCCCAAAATAAAATGACAATCAAATTAGTACATAATAAAAAAGTCATTGATACATAACATTTTTATTTTGATGAATATGTTTAAACATTGTTATTAAAATAAAATAAAAAAACAGAGTTCAGCAAAATGTCCTTACAAAAGTCCGCTCCAAGCAGGAAGAAATATCAAACCGGAAGGAAAATATTAGCACCCAAATTATGAATCTGTCTTTTACAGTTCTACTACATTATGTGAGACAGCTGATGAGGAGACACAGCTGTTTGCAGGGTTTTGTTGACGAATAATAAAGGGTACTGTTATGATTCTCTGCCCCATGTTTAATTATGCAAACTGACTTGAGCTCTGATGCCAGGTTGTCAAAGGCTTCTACAAAAGGATATATATTTATGGTAAAAATGGTATGTTAAAAATGTATCATATATTTATATACACTGCTCAAATCCTAGATCTGAGTGAATTAAATATTTTTATTAAATACTTTCTCTACAAATTTGAATATATGGACAACAAAATTGCACAGAAATCATCAATGGAGATCTGATTTATTAACAAATGGAGGCCTGAATTTGGAGTCACACAACATTAAAGTGGAAAAGCACACTAAATGCTGATCCAACTTTGATGTAATGTTCCTCTAAACAGGTCAAAATGTGGAATGATGTTGTGTGGCCTCCATGCGCCTGTATGACCTCCCCATAATTCCCAGGCATGCTCCTGATTAGGTGGTAAATAGTCTACTGAGGGATCTCCTCCCAGACCTCAACAAAAGCATCAACTTCTGGACTGTCTGTGGTGCAACATGATATTGGTGGATGAATAGAGACATGATGTCCCAGATGAACCAATTTGGATTCAGGTCTGGGAAATGAGCGGGCCAGTCCAAAGCTTTAAAGCCTTCATCTTGAAATAACTGCTGACACTCTCTAGCTAGATGAGGTCTAGCATTGTATTGCATTAGGAGGAACCCCGGGGCCAAACGGCATATGGTCTTACAAGGGGTCTGAGGATCTCATCTCGGTACATAATGGCAGTCGTGCTACTTCCTGCTAGTACATGGAGAGCTGAACTGCCCTCTAAAGACATGCCCCCACGCCCACACCATTACTGACCCACTGCCAAACCACTCATGCTAAAGGATGTTGTAGGAAGCAGATCACTCTCTACGGTGTCTCCAGACTCTGGCATGTCTGCCCCATATGTCACCAGTGACAAAATTTGCCAACCCCAGTGTTCTCTGGTAAATGCTAAGCGTCATGCACTGTGTTGGGATGCAAGTACAACCCCCATCTGTGGATGTCTGGCCCTCATACCATCCTCATGGAGTCGGTTTCTGTGCAGACAAATTCACATTTGTTGCCTGATGGAGGTCATTTTGCAGGGCTTTGGCAGTGCTCCTCCTGTTCCTCCTTGCATAATTGCTGAGGTAGCAGCCCTGCTGCTGGGTTGTTGCCCTCCAGCACATCTCCACATCTCCTGGTGCATTGGCTTGTTTCCTGGTAGCGCCTCTAGCATCTGGACACTACGCTGATAGATGCAGCAAATCTTCTTGCCACGGCTAAGATTAATATGCCACTCTGATGAGCTGCACTACTTCAGTCACTTGTGTGGGTTGCAGAGTCTTTCTTATACTACCATGAGTGTGAAAGCACCACTAACATTCAAAAGTGACCAAAACATCAGCCAGAAAGCAAAGATACTGAGCAGTGGTCTGTGGTCCCACCTGCAGAACCACTTCTTTGAGTGTGTTTGGCTAGTTGTCATCAGTTCTCACCTGCTGTCTATTCTGTTTCCACAACAACATGTGAATTGATTGTCCATTGGGGTTAGTTCCAAAGTGGACAGTTTGATTTCACAGAAGTTTGATTCAATTGAAGTTATATTGTGTTGTTTACATGTTCCCTTTATTTCCTTTTTCAGTGCATATTGCCTCTTATTTTCCTGCCATACACTATCAGTTGTTTATGTATAGTGTAGCTGATAGTGTGATGTGTGAAGGCTGATACTACTAGTAGTAGTTGCAAACAAATTTTCCTCTGGGGGCTTAATAAAGGCAAAATAATCTTTTTTGTCAATAAAATTAGTAAATTATAATAAAGTGTAATCAATTTCAGCAGCTTTTCTTATGAATAAGTGAAGCTATCATGCTTTATTTCTCAGGAGGCTACTGAGCAGGATGTAGGAGGTGGATAATTATTACTGATGTGCAATAACTGTTTCTTTTTTTCACAATGACTTGTTTTTTATTTAATAACTAAATATCTAAAGTGAAATAAAATGGATATAAATGTAATATAGAAATTATCGTCTTCACATTTTAGTAAAAACAGACTCATGAAAGTGTACAGACCTTAAGTGTAAATATATACACTTTAAAGTGAATTAAATAAATAAGCATATGTCCTTTAATGAGTATGTTATATTGACGAAATTATTTACCCATCTATACCATATAAAATTTAGGTAATGATGTCCTAATCATTTCCATTGCTACAGGTAAATAAAATCAAGTCCCAAGGAAGGCAGAGTGTTTCTATTTGTAAACTCCATGATAGGAATGAGCAACCTGTTACACATTACATTGCCTTCCTCCTGAATATTCCAGTCATCTTAGACTTAGACCACTTTTATCGTCATTTTGTATACAGAGCGTATATAAAAAAGAAATGTTGTTTTGTATAGCTTTCATAACATTTCTTAAAGTGCAGAAGTGATCAAATGTAAACAGTGTGGGATAAAAAACATTGTGCAAAGAATGCATTGATATGGAAGCTCAGAGCATTCAATATATATAATGCAAATATGCAGAAATAAGCTTTAAATAAGCTCCAGCAGGCATTGCAGGTCGTAGATGCGGGATCGATGCATGGTTTGTAGCGCTCTAGGCAGTATATTTTGTAGAATTGTCAAGAGCTTTTCAGGCCGCTGCCTACAGGCACCGCCATGATTTTATCTAATCAGTCAGTGGCGTTATAACAAAGCAGAAGCGGTTTAGAATGACAGCACAGTGGAAAGTCACAAAAACTGACATAAAGGGGCAGCAGATCCTGATGCTCATAGT